ATTTCACAGTGAGGTCCAGGCTGGTCTCAAACTCCAGGGGCTGAAGTGGTCCTCCCTCCTCAGCCTCCCAAAGTGCTGGGATCACCAGCATGAGCCACTGTGCCTGGCCAGATTTTACATACAATTTTAGATTCTACTTTTTTTTTTTTTTTAACATAACATTATTCAATGGGCATTCTTTCAATATCCTTAAATTTTCTTTAAAATATTTCTAATGACCATATAGGCATGTGTTATGTAGGAATCCCCACTGTTGCACAGTTAAGTTGTTTCTGATTTTTGTTATTACAAAAAATGATGTGGCCAGGCCAGGTGGCCCATGCCTGTAATTCCAGTGTTTGGAGGCCAAGACGGAAGGATTGCTTGAGGCCAGGAGTTTGAGACCAACCTAGGCAACATAGCTAGACCCCATCTCTGAAAAAATGGAAAATTAGCTGGGTGTGGTGGTGCACTCCTGTAGTCCTAGCTACTTGGCAGGCTGAGGACCTGTCTTTTAAAAAAATTCAATGAATGTCTGTGTTTGTAAATCTTCGATCAGCTTTTTGATTATTTACTCAGGACAGACTCCTGGAAGAGGATGACTTGCTCAGAATTTTGGCATTTGTTCAAATCTTTGGTGGAGTGGAAAAAGGAAGAAAAAAGAGTTCAGAAGTGTGGCACAGATTTACACGACAGAGAAACTCAGGAGAGTTAGAGATCTGAGTGAGCAGAGGAAAACAAATCATGGAAGCCTTCTTTGAGGAGGTGGGACAGAGCATGAGCTGACCTTGGACAATGGGAGCCTGCTGGGGAAGGGCAATTCTCCGAGACTCTGGATGCCCTTTTTCTATAAGTCAGTTGACACAGGCACTGGGCTGGTAAGACAAGACTTCTTTGAGCAGAGTCTTAAAGGACAGAAAGGAATTTCCAAGACTGACAAGGATGTGAGGGGAAGAGGTAAGTGGGCCTGTTAGGTGGTGGGAACCATGTAGGCAGGCCCAGATGTAGAGATGGGAGAGAACCTGGAGGGCTTTGAGTTGAGGCAGGGAGAGTTTGAGAAATGCTTAGGAGAAGCAGGCAGGGGCTAGATGGAACCTTATAAGGTCCAGCACATCACGTTAAGGATGATGGATTTTTCAATGTAGGCAATGGAGAGCGCTGAAGACTTTGAGCTCACAGAGAGACATGATGACATTTGCATTTCTGATAGACCACTGTGGGGCCAGGGAGTAGACAAAGACAGAGGAAGACCCTTGTAGGAGGATGTTTTGGGAACCTGGAGGAGAACACTGCCAGACACAGGCCTGCTTCCAGTTGCTGTGCCCACAGCAGGGCCCGCAGCCATCTTCATCACTCCTCATGCCCTGAGGAGAATATTTATAAAATACTGACATGGAAATGAAAGAGCTGCAGAAACAAAGAGCACAAACACTTCTCTATTTTGTTGAGAGTTAACATCCATGAGGAATATGCGTGTATGTCAGAGCAGAAAATAATGAGGCAATATACTTCCTTAAACAGATTCAGTTCATCATTGCCGGGGCCTGTGCAGGGGAGGATGGTTGGGGGCACCTTCCATTGTCGGTGTGGCGGCTCCTTTCCGAGCAGACAGGTCACTCAGTGCTTTCTTTCAGGCAATTATTTTCGAGATGACTGGAGATTTCGATCAACCAATCAAGCTTTTATAGAAGCCACTTTCCTTGATTATGTTCCTGATCTTTAACTCAGGGAGAGATTTTCCTCAGTATGGCTTGACAGCCTCAAGTTTTCAATTAATTTCTCTCTCCTACATCTTGCTTTTGCTTTCAGTTGGGCAGCTGGAGTGTTCACAGGCTCACGTGAGTTCCTGACATGATGTGTGTGTGTATGTGTGTATGTGTGTGTGCACACAAGTGCATGTGCGTGCTTTGAAGGCATCAGAAATCTCCTTCTGGCCTTTCCTTGATGAGAAATGTCCTGTCAAAGAGCAGAGGGACTTGTGAGCAGGAAGCTGGATGAACAAGGGGAGTCGAGAAGAGGCACTGTGGATGTGGAGGATCCTGATGCCTAGGGTGGCTGCACTCAGGACCAGCCCAGAGATATGTAGAATTAGGCAGCACGGATCAGTGCTTTCAAACGCAGGAGCCATATCCCTGCTTCCAAATATACTGACAAATATTTTGAATCATAATGAATGCATATCTATTCTAGTGTGATTTATTCCACAGAAATGATTGCTTTTCTTTCAAAATAAAATTATTTGAATAATATATAAATGACTTAAAGGTATGTATAATTATACTTAAGGTATATATAATCTATAATAACTTGCATAATATTTAAATGACTTAAAGTTTTGGCAAATCCAAGTTAAGATGTTACGTGAAAGTTGGTGAAACTCTTGAAGGTGGCACATGTATTTCTTAAGATGAGGAGACCCTGGTGTTATGGAAAGAATTTTGGAGTCAGAGAGACATGGATAAAATCCAAGATCTGCCTGTTATGTGTGCCTGTGGGAAAATAACTTAATTGCTAGACCTCAGTTTGTTAGTCTGTAGAACGGGCATTTAAAACCCACCTTTCAGCATTGCTGTGCGGTCTGGAGATTCATTCATTTATTCATGCAACCTTGAGATATTAATTGTCTGCTATGTGCCATTCAGTGCTCTGGGCACAGGGAATAGAGCAGTGAATCAAAGTTCCTGTCCTCATGGAGCTCTCATTCTAATGGGGGAGATGGACAATAAATATATAGATAGCTATGTAAGAAACTACCAACTACTGTGAAAAATATATCAGAGTAAGGGAGACGTTATAGCAAAGCCTCTGAGACAGGAGTGTGGTAGAGATGTGTGAGGAAAAGCAAGGTGGTCACAGTGTGGTGAGAATGAACAGAGGGAAAGGGAGAAAGGGAGAAATGAGGTTAAACAGGTAGTCAGGTGCCAGGGCAGAGAGTGAGTGCCTGGTAAACTAAGGTAAACCTTGGGTTTTACTGTAACTGTTGATAGAAGATGATCAAAAGGTAGTATCTATTAAAAATTATATTCAATTAATATTAGAATAGTTTTATACCTTGTACCCAAGCTGTGCAGAGCACAACGTTAGGTTCCTAGGTTTTGGGTATACCAAGATAACCTGGACAGAGGAGCTCAAATTCTTGCTGGGGCAACAGTAGACTCTAATCAATTAGTATCTGACATTCGTTAAGTACTTGCTACATGCCAGGCCTAGTTCCAAGTGTTTTCCTTTAATGGAATAGCTTGTGTAGTCCTTATAAAACAAAAGTACAGTATATAGTCAGTTGTTATCCCCATTTTACAGTTGAGGAAACTGAGGCACAGAGAGACTTACCATTATATATACTGCCTCTCAACTTCCAAAGAAAGCACAGTGGCCTAAAGGTGCTTCCCTGAGGTTGGAAGTGCAGTAGGAGCACAAAACAAACATTACCCCAAAGAGGGATGCCATAGCCACGGGACTGCAGATGCTCTGGAGGGAAACCGCCCCTGCTAACTGTGACAAACATGTTGCCTCTCCTCTCTGTGCTTCAGTTTCCTCATCCATAAAATGGGATCAGCAGAGGGTATCCATTTTATAGGCTAGGCATGATGATGAAAAGAGACAGTGGACAGGAAATGCTTTTGCACAGAGCCTGCCACATGGCAAGTGTCATTCAAGTCTTAGCAAGAGATTAAGGAGCACTTTATGAACTGGCTCTCCTGGGCCTGGCCTTGAGGCATGAGGAAGACTTTAACAGAAAGCAAAGGTAGAGAAGTTAATTTCAAGTTGATGGGGAATATTTCTGGAAATTAATAGAGTGTTGAAAGTGCATGGTGTGGCTGGAGCGCCAGACTTGTGGTGGGTGAGGGTGTAGCAGATAATTCTATCAGCCTGTGACACTGAGGAGACCTGAACTGCCATCCGAAGAGCAGTGGAGTAGTCTGCGAGAGGGGCCGTAACAAGATACCACAGATTGGGTGCTTAAGCAATAGATATTTATTCTCACTGTTCTGGAGGATGGAAGTCCAAGACCAAGGTCTTAGCAGGGTTGGTTTTCTCTGAGGCCTCTCTCCTGGGCTTGCAAGTGGCCACCTTCTCACTGTGTCTTTCTGTGGTCATTCCCTGGGCCAGCATGTTTTCTGTGTCTTAATCTTTTCTCCATATGGAGACACTGGTCCTATTGGACTAGGGCCCATCTATATAACCTCATTTTACTTTGATTAGCTCTTTGAAGGCCTTATCTCCAAGTCCAGTCATATTTTGAGGTATTGGGGGCTAGAACTTCAGCATATGGATTTGGGGGGGCACATAATTCAGCCCACAAGAGACAATTCAACATGGTGGGGGTGGGGGCTGTGATGTGCCCTGTGCTGTCATAGGCATGTCCAGCAACAGCAGGAGGAGAAGAGAACACTTTCCCAGGTTGCAAATCCTCCAAGTCCGACTTGCACAGTGGAGAGAGGGTGGATAGGAAGGTGAGGGATGAGACATTTCAGGGGTGGAACCTACAGGGCTTGGATACTGATTTCTCTGACTCTTTGGAGCTATACAGAAATAAACACAAAAGCAAGAAAATCCAGATTTGCCTTACCCTGGCCTCTTTCTCTGTCCCCCAGGGATGCGTCTACTTATAGCTCCTTAGTTTTCCCATCTGTTAAGTGGGAAAAATACAACCAGGATCTCATGGCTCCCAATGGGATGTAGTCATATGACTTTGTGCAAATGCAGACTGATTTCGTTCTCCCTGCTAATAAACTGTCTTTCTACCAGAATACAGTACCAACAAACTTGCATTTTCTGGATATCAGAAAGCAATGGTTTGGGTTTGAGCTATTCACTCACTTATGATCTGAGCTTATTCTAAAAAAACTTTGCAGTTTAGTCTAATTGGGTAATTGGGATGTTTCCAGATGAAATTCAACTTGTAGTTTTAAAAAATGCTTTGAAGAACTGGTTGCCATGGCGCTTTTCTGCTGACAAGATCCTTCACTGGCTCCCACTAAGCAGCAATAATGGGCTTCTGTTTATTCTGTTTCAGGTTACCCCACCTGAACATCCTCCTGGGAGGAAGCAGGGCATGGATCCGAAGGGATTAGTGAAGTCCTTCCCTAACCATCCTTGATGGCGGAGTCGGGGTGTGTCTCAGCAAAAAGGTTTGTCATTGCAGGGGCTGGAGGGCTTAGACCTAGTAGCAGCCCAGCTGCAGTGCTAGGGCTTCCCAGACCACTTCACTCCTGGGCAGCTGGGAGTTGAGGAAGAAACCACTGTGCGTTTGTCACCGTATAAACCAGATGGCTGCTTCAGGATATGAACACTAATCCCCTCATATTTGTGGGCAAATGAGTGTCTGGCAGAGAGAATTGCCTTTATTTTAAGAAATAACATGGTCTTAAATATTAATATTCATGTTTTTATAGTATCACTGTTTTAAATTTGAGAAGATCTTTGTTCAAAGTCAATTTTTCAACCTATTGGACACCATTCTTACCCCTCATCCTTAGACTTTTTGTACCCGAGTGTTTATTGTTAGAATGTGAAACATCTGCCCCAGATGCAGTATTTTTGGCCTCATTAAGAGTTTTTCTAGTTCCTCTTCAGTTATGTCAATATTTACCTTGGACAATGCTTTGTATCCTTTTGTTTATAATTCCAGAATTCTCCAAGACAAACTGATTATTCATGACTCTCTGGCCTGGGTTACAATTTAAACATACCTTATGTTGATGTTTTAAGAGTATGAGTCCCCCAGACTATTTCTACTATTTCTCCTAGATTCATAATTCATAATCTTTCATTCCCACTTCATACCTTATATTTTTCCTCCTTCCAGGTATCTTCTAAACATATTCTTTTTTTGTGTGGATTATATTCTTAGAACATGAGATGCAAACTTTTTCCTCCTTTGCCTTTAAAATTCCATGATCCTGGCTGGATGTAGTGGCTCACACCTGTAATCCCAGCACTTTGGGAGGCCATGGCAGGTGGATCACCTGAGGTCAGGAGTTCAAGACCAGCCTGGCCAACATAATGGAACCCTGTCTTTACTAAAAATACAAAAAGTTAACTGGGCGTGGTGGCGGACACCTGTAATCCCAGCTACTTGGGAGGCTGAAGCAGGAAAGTCACTTGAACCCAGGGGGTGGAGGTTGCAGTGAGCTGAGATCACACCATTGCACTCCAGCCTGGGCAGTAAGAGTGAAATTCCGTCTCAAAAAAAAAAAAAAAAAAAAATCCCAGGATCCCTCTCTCCTGCCAAGGATGTTTTTATAACAGTGCATTGTACCCACATTCTTCGAACACTTCCATTGTTTTCCTAGAGAGCACACTCTTCCACACTGCCTGCTCCCTCTTACTAAATTTCTGATCACTGATACAAAAGACACATGACCCTTGTCTCCCCTGTCTGAAGACTATAGTTTAACCTCACACAATGAGTATAAGGAGGCCTTAGTGGGTAAATAGACATCAGAAAGCTCAAGCATGTTTTTCTCAAGTGATCCAATTATACAGAGTCAGTCATCTTTCCTTAATCACTCAGGATTTTATGAATCTACATAATAGTTTCAGTTCTCGACGTGTGCCTTGGAGTTGTAGATGACTTTAAATTTACTATTTTACCTATATTATTACATTTGATCCTTATAAAAACATTATGAGAGAGACCCAGAGGGTTCAAGTAACCTGTTTAAGATTACATTGTAAGTGGAATAAGAATAGTTTTTGCCCTTAAGAATGTTTATATTAATATACTATTTGAGTTTATACAAGTCTTTCTGTTCCTCTAAAATAGTACACTGTTTCTTGATTTGGGAGACATCGCTTGTGCTGTTTCCTTTGCTTGAACTACCTAACTTCTCTCTTTGATTAGATTAACTCTCACCCATTTTTCAAACCTCAACTTCAAGTTCATTTCCTCTAGAAGTATTCCCTGATCTCCTGAGACTGGGCTAGAATTTCTTTCTCTGTGTTCTATAACACCCTTAAAAATATGTAAATAAATTCATCCCATTGTCTGCCACCTAATGATAAATATTAGTTGTGATGTCATTCCCTATCCTATCTCTTATCATACTTTATATATCTTGCTTGCCATTGTATCCCCAGTTACTAGCTCTGGGGAGGTGCACAATATTTGTTGAGTGAATGAGCAATGCACAATGAGTCTTGTAATTGAGGTAGTCTTGGGTCCTTGAACTGAAGAGCAAATGCTGGAGAGGGCACTGAGATTGTCTAGAGAAGTTTAGGCATTTCCAAGTCTAATCCACAGACTACCATCTGAGTGTTGGTATCTAAAATGGTTATCTGTTGTTTGTCTGCCCAACACCCTTTTCCCTTATTTTGCCATCACTCTCTCAGTTTTCCTTTGGGGACTGTCCCCTCCCCCTCTTTTGATCAGTGTTGTTCAGGTGGGGATCCCAACAGCTCTTGAACAGAAATAGGTCTAATGAGCATATTCCATCCCCTAGGTGCAGTGTAAAGCTTATGGATGGCATTCAACCCAAACTGGGTTGATGCATGTAACCCTTGGATTTATGCTGAAACTCTTAGAGCAGAGGGTCTGTTTTTTTTCTTTCTAAGATTGCAAGCAACAGAACAAGCCTGGAACTATAGGTTCTTTGGGAATTTCTGAAGACATCAGTGAATCCAACACAGAACATCCAGAGCCAGGAGATAGTGATAGAGTGAAGGCATAATGAAGACATCATTTGAGTACCTGGGGTTCAGTGGTACCTGAAGCAGGATAGAATTTCCAAGTATATGAACTGATAGATTCCCTTTCTGTTTGCAACTAATTTGAGGTGCATTATTGTCAGTCACCGATAGCTGATAGTGTTCTGACCAGCTCAGTTGGAAACAAAATATCATGCTATTTTTATTACTGACATTAGTGCTTTTTGTCCCTTTGTGGATTTGCCTTATGCTTTCACTTTTTCATATATGTTTTGCATCCATGCAACTTGTCTTAAATAGTTAATCATGAACTAAGTAAGTGAGCATATTTTTGACTGACTTTTCCCAAGTCCAGTGTCACGTGACAGGCTCATTGGATGTCCCCCAGTTCATATCTGAGCTGAGTACATGCTTGGGATTCTTTTTCTGTGAATGGTGATGACTTTACACAGATTCATCTTTCACCCTCTCACACTCTGCCTGTTGGACTCCCAGGGTAAACTGTGGGAGAGTGAATTCGCTGGGATCTGGGAGGGTGACCTGTGATCTCAGAGTGATGTAAGCAAACTCCTGAGCCTGTGGAGTCAGAGCCTCAGAGCTGAACCTAACTGAGTTTTGCATCCAGATCTGGGCAGACAAGGCCTTCAAACCCTCTTTGGAGAAACTTCATTCCCCCTTAGAGAGCTGAAGAATCACAAGGAATTGCAGGCTATTTGGTTTTCATGGTTGGTGGACACTGATCTCTAAGTGCTATGGTGACTTCACGCATGGGCTTCTCTGTCCTATGAACTGAAGGACGGATGCATTCCTTTTTCCCAGAAGCCCTCTATGAAATGCCAATGAAGCTCCCTATGGTGCTTGTTTACCATAATCAATAGATGAATCAATTGCTCTCTATACCTGATTCAAGGAAGTAATTAAAGCAGGGAGGCAGGAGTATCATTAATAGAAATTCAGTCCTCGCTATTTGCCAAAATCTATTTCTGGAAACTGGATCATTGCCTTATGCTTTCACTGAATGTGTATAATGGATAATATATTCCCATTCAAACAGTGTTATATTTGGGAATTGTGTTCCCAAACAAGGCTACAGCTTTACATATCTCAGAGGTGACCTTTCGTTGTCCTGAAATCCAAGATACAAACTGCAAAGTCTTAAGATAATGAGATTAGGATCTAATTACTATTAAATTGCAAAAATGTAAAATGACAAGTTTAAAATGGAATTGTATGTTCCATACCTGTTGTTTATATAAGGGCCTGTATTATCCATGAAGTATTCATATATCATTAAAAAATGTATTTGACTATCACAAAAAAATGTATTTGACTATCTCTACTATCTCAGAGAGTAGTGTTACACTCTCTGAATCTGGTAAAGACATGTAGGAGTAACATGCAAATCATCACATATATAATAGAGTAAAATTTCAATTAAAAAGGCATAAAATTATCCATGAGGTGAAACCCATTTTTGCCGTGAACCACATTTATTATTAAGAGGTAAAATCAGCTTCTCTTCTTCAGGAGGCAGAAGTAGGCAAAGTTTAGCACTCACTTCCATGTGGTATATTCAGCAAGGATATTTTGTACTTTCTTCTCATTGTAAACATTCTTTATTTGCTCTTTTCCTGTGATGTCCTAATAATAAGATTTGGCTTTAGGCACATGGGCAGGGTGAGGACCTAAAAATCCTGAGCGAAGGCATGGGCTCCAGCTCACCGTATCAGAGGGCTCTACCTAAAGGCCTGGGACACAAGCACAGCTGACAATGAGGTATTATTTGCCTTCTTTTTGTCAGGATTTCTTTTGCATATGACTTCCCAAGAAATTTCCTAGGAACATAGGTCCCTGGGTCTTGAGGACACCATCATTTCCATTCCATCAGTACTTTATAGGATTCCTACTGGAACCAAAAAGAGAAAAAATGTTTTCTGCTTAGCCCCAGTTAACCTGAAAATTCAATTAAACAACATTCTCCAAACACTACAGTTCATTGATGATTAACTATGCACGTTCTTGGAAAGGCCAAACTGGATGAAACTGACATTTTGAGAACTATATTTTGCACTGGAATAGAAATTGAAATAGGAATATATTTTTCCTTGCTTGTTTTGATAGCATTTTACTGATAGGAAGTATGGGGAAGCTTGAGGGGGCAAATATTGAGCTTTTGATTTATTATCAGTGAACATTTTCTCCAAGTTGTACCCCACTGCTTCATTGACAAGTGATGTTTCACAGAATTATCTTTTTGCTTTGGGATTTTATTGCTGCTTTCTCTCTTGCTTCCCTAGAAGATTGTTGGATATATAAGGGTTACAGCCACTGAGGTTAGTGTTGTCTTCTGCATTGGAGGAATTTTCTTGACTTTATCCCAGAATTAGTGAGTATAGCCAATGACTGTGCTGATAGATCCATTCTACTTGGTGACACACTCTTGCCAGAGCAACTGGCAGATGGTCCAGTGTGGAGGATTGCA